GGAGTGATACAAAGCCCAGGGAGATTAAAGGCCTCAATGACAGCATCTTCTCCCAAAATTAGACCCTCCCAACCCGGGACAGTGCTTCCTCCTGTGTCCCCACAGCTGAGACTTGGAAGCTCACTCCATCTGCTGAGAGACAACACAAGCTCCAGGGAGACTTCCTTGGCCTTGGACAGAGCCCAGCAATCCTTCTCTCCCTTCAGGAACTGCACTCGCCTCCAGCAATAACTATCTTTTCTCACACCCCCTCCTCTCCCCCAGGGCACGACTAGCAATCCCTCTCCGTGCATCCTTCCTGGAAGAGGGAAGGAGGTCCCTCAGGTACTTCCTGGGGACTGGACACTCACTGTGCTCTGGAGGTCCCTAAAATCTCCACGAGCCTGTGGGGTCTGTGAATCTTCCTCAAAGTGTTTTCACCTGGAGAAGCCACACGCCCCCCCCCCCCAAACTCCTACAGAGACCCTTGAGGTGCACAGAATCAGCAAATCCAAACAGGGCTCCCAACTTCCTCACTGTCTGAGTGCTCCCAAGCACTGGCACCAATTCTCATTCTCTTTGTTCTTCAGGGAACACTGAGCTTTGGTTTGAGGTTACCTCAAAGGTAAAACAATCTGAAGTACGATAAGCGTCTGTGGCCACTGGTGGAATAAGGAGGGGCCTATCAGACCTGGGGTCCAATTAAACAGAGCCGGGCTTTCCTCAAGCGTTAGGCTAAACCACAGCCCTCATTTTCTTTAAAAAGAAAGCAGCTGAAACTCCAGCACAAGACTGACACCTGGGAAACCTTCTAGGAGAATTATATAAATAAGCAAAAGAAGTCATTCTTAGGGATGTGCAGAACTAGAAAAAGCAATTTTATAAGCATATACGTTTCCAACAGCACCTGGGCAAAAACAGCCCAATTTGAAATACTCATTTGCATCAGAATAGTCATGAATATTCAAAGGTCTGCCAGTGTTTCAGAACCATTGTCTATTCCTGGCGCTTTGATCTTCCCCTTGCAAAGCAGATCATGGGTTTCCAAGAAAGGTGGGCTTAGCTAGTCTTTACACTGCCATGCTTGGCAGGAAAGGGAATGATTATTTTGTTTCTTAATATTTAAAATAAAAAGCCTCAGCTGGTGTAAAATATTCATTTTTTTGTTCTGGTCCGGATAAGGATCATGCCAAAACTTCCAGTCTGGCCAAAGGATGCATTTTTCATACTGTTAGGCAGCTTTCTATTGAGAATCTTGGACACATTTTCTGACATACAGGTTTCTTAAAGAGACACCCCCACCAAAGTCATAATACCAACCCCTACAGGGGTCAGGCCCAAGATCTGCGACACTCCTGACCAGTGCCCAGATTCTCTGGGCTACTTCAGCCAAGCCATTCTTCTTTTGGACCTTCGTATTTCATAAATATTGACGTACCTTGCACCTTCATTGGTCCAATAGACTCATAGGCATCCATCCTCGTTCTCCTCTTTTGCCTCAGTTTTACAAAGCTGCTGCATAAGTGAAAGTACTTTGCACTCCATGAAGAAAAAGCAAGAGTTATGGCCAAGTCTGGTTGTATATTGATGCTTCTATTGCCAGGAAGCAACACAATCTTATGATTCATAAGGAATTATCTTAAACAGTTTTAATGTGATGAAAAGTATTATATTTTAAAAATAACCAAAAAGGAGACTCACCAGTCTACCATTTGCTGAGATGATTAGCAGCTATTTCTATCTTCCTTTGCTAAAACTTTATTTCCCCAACATTTCTTCCTTATACTCCGAACCAACTAACTGTTCAATAATATGTTCAAGGGGGATCAGGAGAGACGCAGGCAGGTTGGATCGGTATAGAATTAACAAGGGATTCATCCCTGGGCTCCCACCATGGTCCAGCTGAAGCTCAGTCTACTGTTGCCTAAGCTCTGTCTAAATTGTTCAATTTGTGTGACAAAGTCTTGACGGTATCTCTTTAAGGCTGTCAGAGGAGCCAATGCAATGTCACTTCAGCAGTGAAGTCATGGTTACGAAAGTGCATTTAGTGAAAAATGACAACGTGGGAAGTCTTACTTGTTCTCCGGCAATTATTTCCGTATTCAATTTACAAGACAAAAGATGAGTGCCTCTCCGCCCACCCCGTGCCTCTGCTAGCGGGCGGTGCTCCATTTATTCCTAGGCCTCCTTGGGTTGACCTCCAATCACAGCAAAGAGTCCTTGAATTTGGGTGCTTGGGGGAGCTTTAGAGATTTTCTAGCCCAGCTGCAGAAGAGAATGTGCATCCAAAAGATAAAACTGTTAAAAATGAATTTTATTAACCAGGTATTAGAAAAACAAAACAAAACTTGCTTTGCTATTCTAAGACTAAAAGGATCTAAATCAAAGGAAAAGGTCTGGGAAGGGGAGGGCTGGATCCGGATAGGTGCTGGACAGACTGCCCCACTGATTGACCAGGATAAACACCTCGGCTTCTGTGCTGCTCAGTGGGACGTTTCTCAGGTGTGTTCTCGTAATGCCAGAAGGCCCCAGTGAAACGACCCTCTTGCAGTCACAGCAGTAACTTGTTCCTTCGGTCACCCTGGATTGGCTTTCTTCCTTTCCCTGACTCCTTTTCCCACTCCCTTAGACTGTTTCCTGAGATCATCTCCCAAATGAACTACTTACTCCCAATTTCTTTTCTCAAGGTCTGCTCTTGATAATACAGAAGTGGTTACACCAAAAAGGCATTATTCCGGGAGGAGTGGTTCTCCCCCAGGAGTAATTTTGCCCTCAGAAGACATTTGGCAAAATCTGTAGATATTTTTGTTGTCACAGTTGGGGGAGAGAGTGCTAGTAGCATGTGATGGGTGGAAGCTAAATATCCTACAATACACAGGACCTCCCCACCACAAAGAATCATCAGATCCGGCCTTAGGGCACCTGCTCCACATGTCTCATTCCATCAGCTCAACTCATTACCTTAACAACCATATAAAGGTCAACCTTTGGAGGATACACTCCTCTAAAAGAAGGCACCCAGACCATCTGAGCTACTCCTCTGCTATAATAACAGAGGAGTTATTTTCTGGGGTGTTATGTGGTGCTGCCCCTGCAGTTACGAATGAGAAAAATTGGTGCTATAGAAGGGGTCAAGGCTGGCATCCAGTGAGGCAGCATGGAGCAAGATGAGAAATCAAGAGGCCTACAAGCGGGACATTAATGATGATTCTCAGTCATCATGTTTGGGCAGGGAACTAAAGTGCAATTGAACACGTGCATACTGAACATGTACCACTTGCTAAAATCATGTTGATGTTAATTGTGCTATTTTTAACTAAACTTATCAAAACTCCTAAAATAGTGTTCAGTGTGTCTAAATAAGTCACAGTCATTCTGGGGAAACATGACCTTGGTAAGGTCCTCATTTTACAGATGAAGACACCAAAGTTCAGATCAAGGAAGCAGTACTTCACTGTATAACTATCTGGGTGCTGCCTGCGGACTGGAACACAGATAGCCGAGCCCTCTTTCCATTAAGCTTTCACCCAGGGGCAGAGAGGAGCATGTGGGAGAGCCCAATGTTTTTTCGCTGGGTGCCCAGCAGATGGCTAACACTGAAGCCAGCAGTTTCTCAAAATTCCTAAATCCTAAGAAACATCAGTTCATGATACTGAATCATGCCCATCTTCTCTGTACCTTCCAAAAAGTATTTATAGCAATACAATACACACACACACACACACACACACACACACACACACAGAGGCACACACACGCTCGCTTACATACTCTATAGTCCTTATCATAGAAAATGATACAGGAAATTTTTTTAAACTTTAAAATCTCCACATGAAGCTAAACAGAGAAAAGTGAAATCAAGAATCCTGAGGAATTCTGTCTCTGATTTCTTAACACAGTGTTAGAGGTGCATAGAGAAAACAGCCAGCAACTACACAATTTTACACCTGAGAAAGATCCCGACTATAACCTTATTTAATGACCTTACTACTTTACAGACAAGGAAAACAAGGCAAAGAAAGCAAAAACACGTGCAAGACCAGAAAGTTTCTTGCTCATTACTATAAAACACTTATCTGAAGCCAATTTCTAATGTAGTTGCCTTTGTAGGAAGATTAAATGAGATATGTTCATTAAGTGCTTGTCATACTGTAAGCGTTCACTGAATGTTAGAACGATAGGCAAATACACTCTGAACCTTTTTGTAATTACCCTGCTCTTCTATCATCAGAGTACACTCAAGACCTTGACTGTTGCTGGCTAACTTGGGGAAGAAAAGGAAATACAACATAGACAGGTTCTGTTCTGAACACTGATGAACCATGGGCATTTGTTAAGATTTAAATTAAAATGTGGGCACAGTGTTATAACTAAGTTCATGGTGATGGTTTATCTTTGATAAGGTAGAGTCCTTTGTTATTGTTAAAAGGAAAAAGTTTTACGTATTTTGAGATATAAAAATGAAGTGTAAAGAAGTGTTTATTCATTCTAATATATAGGATGTCCAAAAGTATTCTAATAATCTTTCAAAAATCATCAGGCCAAACAAACAAAACCCTTGATTATGCCTGTATTGCAGCATTACTAGTGGTTCAGAACAGTGAGTGCATTATTTCATATAATTTTAAGTGGGGTGTATGGGTAGTTCTTTGTGGTCTTACCTGGGCTCACTTACAGAAGATCAGCTGGGGACTAGACCTGGCGGGGATACCTAGGCTGCTAGGTCTCCCTTTCCATGTGGTCCTTCGTCTGGGATTCTTCAAGACAGTGGCCACAGGGAACTGTTCTAGATGAGCAAAGGTGGAAGCTTCCCAGCCTCTTGCAGTGTGGACTGTAGTGTGCACAAATCACTCCCACCACATTTCACTGGGCAAAGCAAGTCACAGGGCCAGCCCAACTTAAAGAGAGTGTGGATTTCACCTCGGGATGGAGGACCAGCAAAGCTCTACTACACAGATCCATGTGTCCAGTTATCAGATAACTTCGTCGTCATGGCACTCTCTACCTGAATATCCCCTCAACTTACCTTCACATCTTCTTGGACTGAACTTTCCCTATCTTCCACTTGTACTTCACAGATCTTCCAGACATTTCATGAAATATAAATAACTTTTTCAGATAGCCAATGACTGCTGGAGTTTTATACCATAAGCTAGTGAACAAAGAGAGTGCTCAATGTAAGTTAGACACTCAAAATTAGGGACACATTCAGATAGAGCTATTTTCCAAGGAAGAAGCTAAGAGGAACCCAAACACCATGATTGGGGCCAATCCTTTTCCCTAAAATAATTAATCTAACTATAGGACTTTGAGCTGTTTTACTTAGTTATTTTCATCCTGGCATGTGGCAGCCATGGGGACATACCACTCAGACTTCCCTCAAGAGGGAATTCATGGGGTGAAAGCGGTTAGCTAATAGCCTCCACCTGCCTTTGCCTGCGGTTCATTAGTGTTCTCCCTGCCGCCAGGGTCTCAGGCTGCCCCCTGCAATGACTGTGTGAGGTGGAAGTCCGAGAACTCCCACATTTCTGTCGGGAGTTCCACACAGACCTTGCTGAGATTTTCTTGGAGCTGTACTTTAAGAAATCCATTTCTTCTCTCAAGGTTAGAAAAATATTAATGTAAAGTTTTGCTTTCATAATTAAAGATTTTAATTCATCTGGAGTTGTTTTGGAGTACGGTATGAGGCAAGAATCCAGTTTCATTTTTATGCATACAGACAAGCGTATTTTCAGTTCCACTTATCACATAATCCCTCCGGTCCTCACTGTCAGGCCACCCTTTCACACATCAAATTTCCATAGGTCACAGAGGTCCGTTTTGGAGCGCTCCACTATATTCCATTGGCACTGACTTAATTAAAATAGCTTCCTAATAAAATCAAGAGATCTGTGAGGTAACTCCCTCTTCTTCCCCTGCCCCTCCCCCTCTTCTCCTCTTCTTCCTTCTTCTCAGATGACTTCACTGTCTCTGTTCCTTTATTCTTCCACATAAATTTTAGAAGCAGCCTTTCATTCATTCATTCATTCTGTCTCTCTCTCTTCCTCTTTCTCTTTTTCCCCTTCTCTTTCTCTTTCTCTCTCTCTCTCTCCCTCCCTCTTTCTCTCATACCATGGCTTTAAATGACTGGCTGCCCGTTCCTTTGCATCTAAAATATAAGGGAATCAATGGGTACTTATGTACAGATCCTCAACTAATTTCTGTTTCCAGCCTCCTTTCTCACTCCCAGATCTTCTGATTTTCAATCTCAAAACTAATTCATCGCAGAGATCAATTCTCTTCTTGCTATGGCTTAGAGATAATTTTTATTTTCTCACACTGTATCTTCACATTTTTTCCTATGATGAATATTATTATTATTATTATTATTATTATTAAAATAAAATAAACAAACAAAATGGTTATCTCATTCCCTTGGTACCAACTCCAAGTCCAGTAGTCAACTTTCTTAATAATTTCAATGGCAACAGCAGGCACGTGGCAGACACCGAGAATCAAGCATATGCATTTGCCTGATCCAATTTATCATCAGAATCTTTCTCAGCACAGCTCCATGGACAGCCACTGCTAATTTATCAAAGTTGTGGGAGAAAGCGTTTTTATCCTCCAGGACAAGGACAGATACTTCCTCCTCCATCTACAACCTGTGAATGATGCTGGGGAAGATACCACAAAGTGCTGGGAAGATCACTACACGTGGAGCCAGATCCCACATTGTGTAGGTCTAGCCCTGCCACTCTCTAGCAGAGAATCTTTGCCTTGGGACAACCATGTGGCTCATCCTCAAGCTTCTCCTGTGAAGTCAGGAAGTTGGACTAAATGCTATACGAGGCCCATAGTGGCTGTAGCACCTGAAGCGATTCTAAATTTCATTTTTCCCTACCACTTGACAAGGCAAGGAAAATGAAATAATGATAATAATGTCGAGCATTAAAGGCCTCCTTTGTATTAGACATCACGTTAAGCACTTTAGATGTATCATTATTCCATCTGCTGCTCACCATATCTCATGATGGTATGGTTCTCCCTATCCTGTAGATGAGAAAGCTGAGGATTAGAGAATGACTTCTCTGAGGCCATCCATGGAGTCAAATAGATACAGATTTGAGCCTAGATCTGACTATAACAAATGCCATCTATGCTCTGCTTATACCTCCTATGATGGTCAGATATGGTTTAAAAGTGTCCCCCAATGCTTCATGTGTCCAGAGGAACTCAGCCTCCCGGTAGCAGTGTTGAGATGGGGCCTAGTTAAAAGCAATACCGTCACAGCAGCACCGCCTTCAGAATGGATTAGTGCTGATCTCACAGAATGAGTTCTTATAAGAATGAGGTGTTATAAAATGAGGCCACTCCATGCACTTGGTCCCTTCTGTATATGCCTGTTTCCTTTTCCATTTCTCTGTCATGATGTGATGCAGCCGGGGCACCCTCATCAGAGGCCTAACAGATGGGACTACCCAATCTTGGAATTTCAGCCTCTTAAACTGTGAGCTAAATAAATCTCTTTTCTTTATAAATCACCCAACATCTGATATTCTGTTGTAACAACAATGCATTCTGCCTCAAGCACCAGCCACTCTTCATTTAAGGGCTTCCCTGGCCCTGATAGGGTAAGCCTGAAGTTCCAGAAGTAGAAGAGAGTTAATGCCCCTAGACGCATGTCTCATACAATGATAAATGGGAGTTGGAGGATACACACACGGACTCCCTCACCTCTTAGTTGGGGGACTCCAAAGTGTGTTTTTTTCTCTTCCTCCCTCTCACATCTTTGCTTCCTGAAATCACACACACACACCCGCCCCATTCCTTCCACTCAGAATCTTGTCTCAGAATTTTTTCCTGGAACTTAAACCAAGACAACTTTGTATCCTGCTATGCTGCTGTGAAAATTGGACAAGAGTGTTCCAGAAAAACACATTTAAAACTCATTTCTTAGGTCCTACTAAACTTTCTTCAAATTTAAAGTACAGAAGCCAGTTGTCTCAAGGTCTGTTCCCCTTAAGACAGGAATGTTACGGACCTTCGGGATGTGTAGAGCTGTGAAGGCCACACAGCTTCAGAGAGTAGACCCTGGGTCTTGTTCTGTTAGCTAGTTCTTCACTGTGCCCATTGCAGAAGTGTGGAAACTTTGGAGGCTGGCTTCTACATTTGTGAACAGAAAACTGGGATACTGACTCTGAGATTTCAGATCTTGAAGTCAAGATAATCCAGCACCATTGGCAAGTCTACAGTTAGGAGTGGAATGTGTCACTTATGTGGCTGACAACTTTGCATAAAGGACACTGGCAGGCGGGAAAAGATGAACACAACACTAAACAAGGAAAGGAGATAGAGACAGAAGGCTGGGCAGTCAGTGTCAGGTGAAAATGTTAATTATAATGCAGCCTCTTGTATAAAGATGGAATATAAATCCCACAAACCACAATATGCTCAGGGTTAAATTTGCAGCCATCATGGTGATTTTAAAAGAACCATATTTAATTATAGCTCAGAGAAGTTTCTTTTCATCTACATAATACTTTTACACATTTAATAACCTCTTTTTAGAATCAGTATAATTTTTCAGTGGCAGAAACATTACTAAGTGCCACTTCCTCTAGCCTTAGTGGTGGTTGTTTGTGGGATCTGCTGTAATAAATCTATTGTATTGAAGGAAATATTTTATTTGCAAAGTGTAAAAGATTTCCAGTATAATTTGAAAACAGTACAAAGAAAGCACCCCATATTACTTTTTGCTTGAAGTTCTCCCATGACTCCCTGCCTGCCATTGAGCTTGGACTTCCATGTGAATTTTTCCATCTGCTTTGGCTGCAGGTAATTTGGAGACACTGACGTCATCAGACCATCTGTTCAGCAAAACCACAGCAATGCTTTCTCCTGAGTTGTTTATGCCTTGACAGCTACTTTGGACTATTTCAATATATTCCAGGCAGGGACTAAATTGTGTTTCAAATATCCCTTAGCATTGCACCAAAGGGTAAGGAATGAAGTTAATTGTGTTTGTAATTATTTTAAAAATTCAGGTACAGAATTGTTAAAACTCACAGCTAATCCCAAGGCAAGGAAAAGTAAATATTTTGCATATGGGTGGTCATTCAGCTCCATCTTTTCCTCCTGATGACTTCTGACAGACTCAGTTTGCCCAATATAATTATTCCTGCTACACCCAGAGTCTGGCCCAAAGGAAGCACTAAATAAACTTTGTGGGATGAATGATCAGTATTTCCCTCTTCTAAGGCATTCTTGAATATAATCCATGTATATATATATATATATTCCAGACAGCTGTCTTCCTGTACCCAGGAAGAACAGAGAGTTAACTTTCATTTCCTCTTTAAGCAGTGTGTGAGAAGTCTAAAAAGGTTTCAACACTTGAAGACCTTGAGACCCCATTACTTGTTTTAGGGGGTCAGAGATGTCTCTAGAATGAAGAAGATATTCTTTTTGAATCCCTACAACATAAAACTGATTGGAAACATTAAATCAAAAGCAAAACAGAGTTTGACTTAGAACTCATTTTAATGTAAATCATGAAGACTGGACCTATTTCTTGGAATAGATCTTAAGAGAGACACCTCATATCCAACCTGTGTGACCATCATATCCTATGGTGATTTTGCATCATAGTACTTTATGTGTGCTATGTGATACAAGTATTCTGAGATCCCCCTTGCTTTGCCTGTGTGCTAATTTTAATTTCAATTTGTATATTTTAAAACCTCTTTTCAACCTTATCCCTTCTTCCTCCTCTTCCTTACTCCCTTCCCACATTAATTCATGCCCAAGTCATACTAAGTTCAGCTTGTATGAATAGTTTTCAAATTTTTCCATTTTTTATTGTCTTCTCTAGCATTATCTTAGGTCAAGTTATAGTCATCTTTCATCTGGAACCCACTGATCTTTTTATATCCATGGATAACATGAAACAGACATGGAATATGCATTAAAGGTAAATCTCTGCTCTTTGAAGCCATTAAGAGTTTAGGATTATTTGTTACTACAGCACATTTTAGCCTAACCTGACTTATACATCAACTAATGTCCACTTCGGGCAATGCTTTGTGCATTGGCCCAAGTTAAATCCATAACTGAAATACTAAAACATTTTGAGAACAATAAAACTGAGAAAAAGCTAAAATTGTATAACAT